AAAAAAGAGAGGAAGAAACCTACCTAAGAGAAAATAGTTCTAAAATGCAAAATGACAATCGAAGGGATTTGCTAACAGTTCTAACCCATATTGCTTCAGATTCTTTAGCAAAAATGGGAAAACAAAAATGTTGCTTCAGCTCTATAAATTAGTTAGACTGAGGAACACCTCCAAAAATCACAATCAAATTTTATCATCTTGCAGAAGTTCAGCAAAGCTTTAAGTAATAAACAAACAACAAAACCAATGCATTGTGAAATTTGATTCACTAACATTTACGATTCTAAAGGGAATGAACCAATTGAAACCACTCACATTATTTGCACCCAGAATGTTATACTGGGAAGAGCAGGCACAAACAAGCACATAAAATTGTGCCAAAAAATAGACTGCCTGAGGACTGTTCTTTCCCTAGAGAGACCTGCTGGGATAAAAAAATACACCAAGATTTGGTGCACCAGAATAGTTTGAAAATTGATGAACTGAAAAGATTCAGTTATCACTCGCAGGCAAAAGCCAAATGCAGTATACCAAAAGTGTTTTGGCAAAACAAACAAACTAGAGATACAAAAGGGAAGGCCAAATTCTAGCCTTAGCCAGTCTTGTGCAGAACCCAGGAGGAGACTAAACTCAATGGAACAATACATAAGTAACAATGCTGTCCTCAAATATAAACATGAGATTCTGAAATGAAAGACTCAAAATCAATACTAACATACATAACTAGAAAACTCATGTAACAGAAATAGACAACCAACATAACAACAGCATGTAGTGGTAATCATGTTGCTAAAAAAAGACCCACCCAGTGCAAAATATTTGGATGACGACTTGATCACAAAATTAGAACAATGTAAAGCATTATGCTGTAAAATATTGCAATGAATTTTGTTTCAAAATGGAGTTTTATCAGCTGTAGCAGAAAAAGATCCAAGCATCATTCACTACAAAGAGAGGTTACATTTTTCATCCAAAAGTTTCTTGAACCAAATTATAAAAAATATATATTATATAAGATTACATACAGTACAAGCATAAATTTCACATCAGAAGATAGAAACATAACATGTGATATTACCAATATGATGCATAGCAACCTTCAAAGGGCATCATAAAACAGGTTCCATGTGAATATTAACTACTACAAAGATAAGCAAATATAAGAACCATACACATCTGCAAAATACTGAAACATTTCATTGCTAATTATTCGATCAAAACTAGACTAGCAATTAAATCCAAACTGGAACACTGGTTCATGAGAAAAATACAAAGACTAGTCTAGATCAGCAGTGTTGACAACCAGCACTCAGAAATGAACACATCTTAAAGGTGCAGATCAACAGAAGTGGCTGTAATGCACAGCTAATACATTCATCAAGCCAGAGTATATATAGTCTGCAATCACGCAATCACGAGAACCACAAAAAGCATCTGCGCCAATAAGCTGTCATACACCTGAATCAAGCACCCATACGTAACTCAATTCATCACTCTACATCATCAAGCAAAAGTAAAGTCAACACTAATTAAAAGAAAGAGATGCAATCAAAACCAGTGAAACAAAAAAATATGCACTAAATTTAAACAGATAAAACAAGTCACATAAAGCAAACCAAGAGATCAAGCAGATGAGAAAAGCAGACAATACAAACAGTGGAGTTCAAAAATTTTATCAAAAGCAACAGAAGCAATCATTCGAACAACATATTACAGAAAAAGCTTTTCATTCAGTGAAGACAGGTCGGAAATTCTCTATTAACGGGAATCTAAATCTAAGTATCATTTTAAACCAACAAGTAAATAGATAAGATAACAAAATATTTTCCCCACATGATCACCTGCAGATATCTAAGATGCCCAAAGCCAATCTAAAAGAAACAATTCTCAAGGAGCAACAATGTAAAAGCTTTAAGACTAAGTTCAAACATATAATCTTTTGTATGGTAGAATACACCAGTTAGTTCCAGTTGGTCTACTGTTTTTCAGCCATCAATGCAAATTCAAGAACTATCCACTAAAAAGGAAAACACACACACACACACACAAAGACACCAAACAGGAAAATCTTTCAATTCCAAGAACTTTGGAAGATACTTTTTCATTTCAAGTCGATACCAAACAAAGGTGCAGGCAACTTATTTCAGAAGAATATAACACAGGACTAAGGTTGAATCAAAATGTCTTAAATTCGATTATTACTGAGCAATGAGAAAACACACATCCACGGAAAACTTTTTTCAGTTGAAGGGATTGCTGCCTATGATCAGCATAGATCACAATATGTCTGAAAATTATGACAAAGAAACCAAATAAAAGCTCTTATATAAAGTTGAAAAAAAAATTGAGGAATATAAATCCACTTATAATGTTTGAAGTCACTGAGCAATGACATAATCTGACATGTTTAGTATTATTATACATACTGCAGGACACCAACCAACAAATACAAACAAGTAGGTAACAACCAACAAATAAACCAACATCAAATACAAATAGAAACAAATGCAAACAAGCAGGTAATCATTAAAAGAGAACATGATATATGACCCTATAGAATGTAACTGAAAAATGTAGAGTCACTGAATACACATAGAGACAAGTATGCAATACACAGTTAACAGTAAAGGGCAAACAAATCATAGTTTCAATAATTCACAAAGAACAAACATTCAAAATAAAGGACATATGCAAGGAGAAGTATAAGCATTTAGTAATTCAAATTATCAAATTAAACACTTAACAGTTGAAAGACTGAATATACCAGGATACGAGATTAAGAACTACCTCAGAAATATGGCGCATTAGGATACATTCCTCCAGGTGGAACCCTTGGCAAAGGTGAAGTCCCCGTTGCCTGGTGATGCTGACTTGGAAAGTTTGAATTGTAGTGTGCACCATCTGGATACCCACCTGATGGCATGCCAGCAGAACTTGGAGGCAACCTGTACAAAGAGGACCCAACACCAGCACCACCAAGCCCACCCCCAGCACCACCAAGCCCACCCCCAGTACCGCCCAATCCACCACCGCCAGCACCACCATATCCTGTTGAGCCTGGTCCTCCATACCCCCCATAAGGGCCTCCAAGCCCAGATCCATAACCCCCAGAACCAGTAGAAGCACCCAAAGAAGATGCCCCAACAGCTGTTGAATTCAAATGATGAGAACCTAATGGCGGCGGACCCTGCAATCCACCAGAAAACCCGCCATAAGCCCCTAAACCACCAGGTCCTCCATAAGCCCCAGGAGCAGGCGGGGCCCCCATCCCCATCCCATCTCCACTCCCAAGACCACCACCCTGAACACCATCCTGTCCTGGCCCGCCTGGCTTCCCTTTCTTCCCGTCAATTGCCAGCTTACAGTTCATCTGTCTACCATCAATATTCTTTACCGGCTCCCTTAGCGCTTCTTGCGCTCCTGCCGCAGTCTTATACACAAAAAGCGCAAACCCCTTTGATTTCCCACTGTGCTTATCAAAACCCAAAGGGCCCTCTTCGATTTCCCCATATTGTGCAAAATGGCTTAACAACTTATCCGCAGGCATGTCATAGGGAACACTTCCCACGTAAATTTTCCTCAAATGAATATCAACAGGGTTCGTGCTGGCTCCAGTATTCCCCGCCGCCGCAAGTTGAGCAACAGCAACCCTTCCGTCGATCTTCTTGCTGGGCTCTTTAAGTGCAAGCAAAGCGCCATCCACGTGTTTGAACGTAACAAAACCATAACCCTTAGATTTCCCAGTTGCCTTGTCGAGAATTACGATAGCTTCCTCGAGGTCGCCATAGGCGGAGAAAAGCGTGCGAAGCCCCTCTGTTGTCGTATCCCAGCCAAGACCGCGGATGAAGAGCTTACGCTGGGCGGGGTCCTGGTCGGCGATTGAACGAACAGCGTTGAGGACATCAATGTGACGGGAAGCGGCTTCCTGTAGGATGTCGAGGAGTTGGTCGGTTGTGAAGCGTTCGATAATCTTACGCACATCCTGAGGGATAAGCCCCGCGATTGGATCCGGCTCCGGTAGCACCACGGAGACGCCGTTCTCATCGATCTTTCGTTTCTTGGTTAAATCGACGGTAAGCATCTTGATTTCGAGGGGTGAGAGTGGAAAACCCTAACCCTAATCCTAATTCAGGCTTCTGAAGGAGGAAGCGAGACGTAGGGAAATTCGGATATGGGTCGAATAATTATAGGATTCGTGTTAAGTGGGCCAAATTTAAAGCCCATCATCTTCTTCCCTGTAGCTTTCGGTTGCGACCGAAATTGTGAACTAGCTTAGCCCATCATTAGGCCTTCTATTTCGGTCTACTCTAGGCAGCTAAAACCTTTTTTTTTTTTTTTAGTGGAAAGCGAGTTTTAGGTTTGAAGGGCTTTGTAAAAGTATTAATTTACTAATATTAAATTTTAATTAATATTTTGTACTTTTTATTTTAAAATAATTTTATTTTTTTCTTATATTTACGGATTAAAGATTAAAAAATAATGTATATATTTACTTATACCACCCTTAAAAAGACTACGGTAAAAGATAAAGTAAAAATAGGGTAATTAATTAAAACAAATAAATAATAATAGAATTAAAATAGCGAAAAGAATTATTTATATACCTTAATATATATTTAGACTGAAAAGAATAAAGGGGAGGGAAAGGGAGAGAAATTTTATCTTTTCATTCTCTTCCTTCCTTCTCCTTTGTTTTTTATAATCAAATAGAAAAAAATTTTACCTTTTTTTTGTCTATTACTTTTAAGCCAAATATACAATAAAAAAAATAACAATTAATTTGAATCAAATTTAAAATCAATAAATAACTATTGCTTTAATACAAAAAAATATATAATTTTTTTGGCCATACAAGCGAATATTATCATCAGAAGAAGCATCCCCACCCCGATTTGCATTCACCCCTGGGCCAATGGTAGTGATATTGTCACTCTGGCTCTTTTTTACTTTATTTAAATTTTTTTCTAATTTTATATGTGGTATTAAACTAGTAAATATGTATAATATTATTAAATAAAAACAATTAATTATATAATGATATATTATATTATAATTTTGTTATATCACCTAATATTATAATTATAACATCCATTTTTTCATTTGATATCACATTATAAATGTAAACTTACAATAATTCGTGATATTATAATTATAATATTATTATTTTTTAAAAATAATTATCAAACGATAATATAATTTTTTCATAATAAAACTATGAAAAAAACTACAATTATAACATTTTACAACAACTCTACACACAACTTAAAGTATTTTAATTCTAGCTTTAAATTGGTTTGGAAAATAATTTACACAAAAAGGTGTATCATCTTATTATAAACTTCCAAATTATAACACATTATTTTAACTTCACATAAGAGGTTTTACTTTACATAAAGTTTGAGGTTTTAATAACCCTAGAGAACATATAATTAAACACTCATTTAAAACCACAGCCATAACAGGCAAACATTTTATCAAAAATAATACAGTCGTCTTTACAAACTTCAAGTTTCTAATTTACATCCATCATTTTATATTACACATCAAAATAAAATGTATTACCATCAAGGCAAACCACACACATTTTTCAGGAAGAATTTCCTGAGGGAACCTATAATTACACACTCATTTAAACCATAAACATGACACACATTTATCACAAATAATACAATACTCTTTACACATCCCAAACCCATTTCATTTTTCTCTCTCCAAATTTTCATTGCTTATCAAAATCAAGAAATTGAAGAAAACTTGCATACTTTTTTTTTCAGCTTTAATCATAAAATATTTATATATTACAAGACAGATTATACCTAAAAAATATATTTCGTTCTATAAATTTATTAAAATATTTTTAGTAATAATAATTCTACTTCCCAAACCCATTAACATCCTTCTTAGAACCAACTTCCAAATTGGAACAACACATCACCAGAGAAATCCTTTTCTTCTTATTCTCCAACACCTCACGGATTTTCTCCTTCCCGTCCTCGTCGTCGATCTCAAAGTTAGAGCAGCACAAAAGCAGGGACCCTTTCTTCTTCTTCTCCTTTCTCTCCTTTCTCTTCTGCTTCTTAGCCATTTTCTTCATCTGGCGAGGTGAGATCACATCGAGTGGAGGAGGCGCCGGGACGGGCTCACCCACCGCAGGCCCAGGAAACGTATAAACGTTGGTGGGTCGCTGAGCCTGAGGGGGCACGGTGGTGAGGACGCCGATGTAGTCGGCGGTCTTGGGTGCTTCTGTGTAACTCATTTTGCCTTGTTTCTGAGTTTCCTGCACAGATAAGGTCGAGATGAAGCGCATTTAAAGGAAGTCAAGTCAACTCCCAATACCGTGTCAATTTTTTCTGCATTATAAAGGATTTTTTTTTTT